CGTTTCCGGTATTCACTATGCTAAATAATTTCTTATTCCTCCTCAGATGTATTATTTATCACTTTACGTCAAGCATTAAAAATTATATTAATGATTGCTTGGATAAGATAAGAGTTAGGTTTTATAAAAATTATTTTTATAATAAAAAATTTATGTAATACATATTTGCATTAAGTTTTGTTAAAAAAATTAAAAATTGTTATTTGTGAGAAAAGGCATTGAATAATTCATGATTTAAAAAATATAAAAATGTTATTATTTAAAAAATATCACGTAAAAAATCACGTAAAAATTTGTAGTATTTTTTTCCATTTTTTGAATCCGAGCATTTTTACACACGATATCTGTGATCGACAGATTACAAAGGAATCATATCATCCATCACGTATATATATATATATATATATATATATATATATATATATATATATATATATCATTTCCGCCTATATCGGTCACTAAAGTGCTTCTTCACGCTTCTGGTATTCCAATAACGCGTGCGAGATCGCGGAATGTAAACGGCAGCGAAGAGATTGAAAGCCTCGCGCGATCTTCTCCCTCGGAAGCGGAGGTAGAGTTGGGAACTTTGGGAAGTGGAGGAAGGCGAGAGAGAGAAAGAAAGAAAGAGAAACAGAAAGAGGAGAGACAGTACACGTAGGATGAACGTCGTAACTTGTGAAAGGTACCGAAGGGTTCGTAGTTAGCAATCCTTTCTTCCCTTCACCCTTTATCGTGCTTCGTGTTTCTACTTGGACTTCTGCCTCACTCTCACGGCAATACGAATCAGTTTCCTCCGAGTTTATATTCATAACGAATAAATTATTCAGCTCGGTGCCGGGATTCGAGCCCATCGGGATGTGTAGGCCCGTCACGTCATCTCGCATTATCCACCTAATCGGAGAACGTGGAAAAGCCCCATAATTCTTCCGAGTCAGTCGTCGTTCGATAAAGCAAAATCCGGGGATCATTTTCGTCGAGCGGGATAAAAATCAATGAAAACAATCTTTTCATATATTATATTAGTTTTCATTCGGCGATTTTATAAAGCAGAACATTATATAGTTAATTAATTGTAACAGATTTTTATTATCTCTTCTATCACCGAGGGATTATTTCATTCCGGAGAAGAGATAAAATTATTTATTTGATACGAAATTATAACAGAGAGAAACTATTGTGAAGCTTGTATCATGCATAATCTTTTTTGATAGTAAATGAAATTATAGCGTATAATAATTGCACGGCAAGCTTCCGTTTTTTTTTCGGATGTACTCTATTACGTCTCACATTCCATAAAAATAAATTACTTTTTCTCAAACAATTTTACGGAGCGCGGAGATTTAATGGAAGCGCCTGGAATGAATGTAGAAAAATATCAGCTTTGGACGCACGGCGGTGCGCTGGAAAATCCGCGTGCTGTCGCCGACATGCCTTTCCGGCGTTTCCGAGTGAGAAATAATTAGCAGGTTTCGTCACTCGGCACGTATATCCGCCCGTGCGTTGCAGCGACCGCACTTTGAATACACCCCTCGCGAAGCGAATATCGCGCATTTATTGCAGCACCGAAAAGTGCGACCTACCGTACGATACGGGTTAAAAGCGCAGTTAAAGCGGCAGGAATGTAGCTCGCACAAAAGGCCGACTACATCGACGTGTGCAACGTTAATCATAGTAACTGACCCTTCCTATCGAAATAGAATCTACGTTCGAATAAAAAATAATTAGCAATAACTATATTTAATTAATCCGACCTCAATAGAAATTAAATTTAAAAGAACCAAGAAAATATTCTATTAAATTTAAAATTGAGGAAATATTAATTGGAAATTTCGCATAAAAGAGTAATTTATTTGTTATGTCCCAGATAGAATGTTTCAAATTTTTTATTTATTGTTAAAATATTATTACATATATATCGTTGCACTTGGATGATTTTTTAAGAATTACATCTTGTCTAAGTTTTCGACGTTCTATCTTTTGCATTTCAATTCTCTCGGGTAGCTATTATATTTTTTATTGCAATTTTCTAACTCATCTATCTAAGTTTTTATTGCAATGTGATCGAACTTTTCATGCTATAAAATTATACAATGCATTGTTGTACGTATTCCGATGGAAAAACATCAATGAAACGTAGTTAATCAATCGATTCAATTACTTATTTTCATTTTTCCTTTTTCATGTTTTTGTTCGACAACAAATTGCTTTAAATATTACATACTTAATCAATAAAAATATTTCGCTAATATTGATACACATCTCGTAGATTCGAATGTGCGAGGAAAGCAAGAATAAGGAGGATAAAAAAAAGTAAAAATATTACTCGGTAAAAGGAGAGGAGCCTTATTAAGGATGGGGCTCTTCCGCATGCCTGAACGTTTAAATTTCAGAACGTCGTTCTACGAAACACGGGCGACATCGTTAAGGCACGGCCGTCGAGATTAAAGGCTTTCCCGGATTCGAGAGATTTCAAGTCCGGGATTGTCCGCAATTAGTGCGGAACGAGGGGGCAGGGGTAGGGACGGCGACGACGACAACGATGGCAAGCTCCTTCAGGAAACTACGGAAAGCTTCCTGCGCGGGAGTGAAAGAAAGTAGAAACGTTAACGAGAGGAATCTTAAGATGCGTCGCGATCGTTATCGACCCTTCTCCTTCTATCTTCTTTTCTCTCGGATCTTGGGTTGTTTAAAAGATGATTGCATTCGCTGTCACTATCAGACGAACGTACAGCAGGAAGTCGAGAAGTTTGTAATTGATAGCTCTTTCTGATATGCGTCTCGAGTTTGTCTTTATGTATCATAAAATTATTAAGGAGATGAACGATACAGTTGACTTTCACGATTAATTACCGTCCTTATGCGAGATAAATGGAATCACAGAGATCGATGCTTTTTATACGTTTCCATGGCAGCACGATTTTTTGTTGACTTAAATAATTACATTTCGAGAATAAGCTCGCTAAAAACGATCGCGCCCAAAGAGACGATTTAATGATCGATTTTACAGTGCGAGCTATTTCAGTTGAACAAAATCTGTTTCTCTTTTCCATATCTTCTGATCTTATATAAGGCAGATTGTATGATTATCTTTATGCAAATATTATTTTGATGTAAGCCATGTATAAATAATGATAAATGAATATTGAGAAATTATTATTTTCAAAATATTATTGAGAAATTATTGTTTTCAAAATATTATAATTAAAATTATTTATATGAAACTGTTTTAACAAATATCCGTGTTTTTCAACAAATGGCCAAATCCAATCGCTGCGTTTCAAAACAGAAATTTTATTTTATTTTTTACGTTATTATTCTTATATCCATTGCTTGTTTTTCATTCGCATGTGTTGACTTAAAAAAAACTGTAATTTTTCCACAATATATCGTATTTTATTTTAAAAAATCGAGAACTACAAAACGAACAGAAGAGTCAAAAGAGAATTTTTTTATTTGGAAAATGTCACACGCGTCTCATTAAATTCCCTCCCTAAATATAAGTAAAAATTCGTTCTTACAATATCGTTTCTCTATCTCGAATCGCATACTTGAGCGATTATGTCTCGCGTACATCGTAGATACCGCATAAAATTCTTGTTCGAGCGCATCCGCTCGGTTTCCCTTCAATCGCAGAGCGAAGGTTTGTTACCGTGCAGTTTCGCGAATTAGATTTCCGCGAGTGTCACGTGTTCGCGCGCGCACTCGCGGCTCACACGATCGCTCTATCTCGTTTCGAAGCGAAACTTTTCGAAACACAGTCCGCGCCGCGCTTGCCATGGACATGGGAGGAGAACACGCGCGCACGATGTGTCACACGCGCGTTTACACGCGCAGGAAGTTGGACAGCTGTACTGAAATTGTTTCCACGGGAAAATGGTATGGACGTGCAGTAACCGGCGCCGCGATAGCACGGACGTTTCGCGACGCGACGCGAAACTTTCGCGCGAACGAATTTACGCGCCGCGATACACTTCGATCGCTTCAATTACACGCCGATGTCACAGTCCAGATATGCTGAGAATAGGAAGTTTTTATAACATGGTTTTTTTTGCATCTGGAACAGATTTTATTCTGAATACTTTACAATAGCAACAGCTAGGTCAGGGAGAGTTAAATACGAGATAGAAATTATTGACTGTTTTAAGTTGTTTTTCTGTCGACGCCAAATGTGGAACTTCAAGGGGCAATATTTCGAACTCAAATGTTTAAACTTGGACAAGATAGATGAAATTCATTATACATGCTATTCAGGGGTTACGAAAAAATTATAATGTTTTATATAAATTAAAAATTTAAATTCAATTGATACTAAAACTTCTTGCACGTCTCTGTTGTAGTATCAAGTTTTTCTCCCTTTTTTAATATAGTGATGCGACATCCTGTCGCGACGGCGTTTCCACTGTCTATATAAAATTTTCACCGTAAAATATATATTCAGCGGCAACTATTCTTCGCTCCCTAAATAAATATAAATTTCTCTGAAAAAAATTATATCCTTCTCAGCGAGGATCAAATAAAAAATTGGCAAAGATATCGTCGAAACAACGCGGTACAATATTTTTAACTTTATAAATTATAACTTTATAACAAGACAGAAACTGAAGAAAAAAAGTCTTCTTTTCCTTGCGAAATTCCATCTTCCATTTTATTAATGAGATAAAATCTCATCTATATGCGATCAGGTCAAAATCTCTCCTATATACGATCTAATGTATCTTACGTATAATTTCCGATAGTCTACGTGAAAATGAGAAAAATAATCATTTAAATGCACTCTTTCAGTAACATCAATTTTAATTAAACTTTCATTTCCTGTCTACAAGTAACATTATAATCCATAAAGGGTAGCTTAGATAATCCAAAACTGATAATACCAATATTCGCTTAAAAAAGAAAGATCTATTTTACGATACGATGTATTCTATTTGTACCTGTCGAGAAATTCGATTCGTAATCGGAGAATTTTGGTAAAGAAAGACGCGGATTAGAAGCGGATTTACCTGCGAAGATTAGGCAGCGGGCCAGCATCCTTCGATTCTGTAGTCTACTACGCACGGCCGGATTCGGCGCCTAGTTCCTCGAAGAGGACGACGATGCACGTCACTCTTGAACGTCACCCTGGTGCTCGCGATCCGCCGCGGTGTCGTCGCCGCCGTCGTCGTCGTCGGCGACGTGCACGACGCACGGCGCAAGGACGTGGTGGCGATGGTGGCCGACGACGAGGACGAGCAGCAGCAGCGTGTCGTCGCGGTGTCGACGGCGAGGCTGCTGCGAGTGCACGCGGTGCATACGCGGCACGCGGCCAGTCTAAAAAGCCGGCGGCGTTCAGATGTATCGCGGCGATGTAGTCGCGGAGAAGTCGGCGGGGACGCGGGAGCCGATGGAAAAAGGGAAAAGGGAGAAGAAGGACACAGATAAGTAGACCCGAGAGCGGAAGAGGTCCGGCGGAAAACGCGACGCACACGTCTACTACCCTCGCGACGAGAGTCTTTGGCCTCCGGCACCGCCGGCCACGACTGATCGCGCCGGGTAACCCCCCGTGAGTGTCAGGGGCGCATGCGTGCCACCCTCTCCACATCCCTCTCCTCTTCGACGGAGGTAGTTGCGCGGGGTGGTTGCCCCTCTTCATAGTGTCCCTCTCGTACGAGCGCTGACTTCCGCCGAGGGGGTGTCGGTGGGTGGTGGGTGGTGGTACAGGTGCTAGAACGGAGAGAAAAGAGAGAGGACGCACTCTCGCACACGTACGATGAAATAGCATTTTCAAATAGCGGATGTGATTTAGCTATTTACCGGGGTTAGTGCTTGGGAAATATTAAATGATGAGAGGATGATTACTTTTTATTAGCACACAAATAGCTTTATTTACGATCATATATATTAATGTTGTAAAGTTTGTTTTCTTGTTTATCATTATTTTTTAATTTACAATCATTGAAGAAACTGTAATGGTAATGGTAAAAAAATTCATCATCTAGCAGTTTACTAGATTTCTTTTTTTCCATCTATTTTTTAATTTACAATCATTGAAGAAATTGCAATGGTAATGATAAAAAAAAATTTATCATCCAGCAGTTCACTAGATTTCTTTCCTCTATCTATGATAGACTCTGTGATTAGATTATGTGATCCCTTTACTCCGGTCTCTCTCTTTCTCTCTGAGACCTCACTCCTACGAGCTGATTTCCGTTGAGAGGGTTAGCCGACAAATAGATAGATAGATAGATAGATAGATAGATAGATAGAAGCAGTTGTTACGAAGAACGGGAGGCAATACGCACTCGTAGACGGCTGATCGCGCGGCAAGACTATAACGTTTCCCAATACGAATTTAACCATTCGCTTCGGTTGATACTTTATGCGATATAGAGAACGTTACTTGATAAGAGATAGCGGTAATTTTCTCGTTGCAAATAGCCTTAGGATCTATTATGCCAACAGCAATTGCAATTGCTCGTTATCTTTGATTAGCTATTATTTTCTAGATTCTATATACAACTAATTTCTACTTGTAGTGTATTTTATTATAAAAGGTGTACTTTATTATAAAAGGTGTACTTTATTATAAGGTTGATTTTGCCAACAATCTTATAGACACACATCAGAGATGATGGACGTTTGCAAGATAAAACTTAAAAGTTAAAGACTCATTAACTATAAAAGCTTGAAGAATTTCATTTTTCTATAAATTCCTATATTTGAAAATTTTTTTTAATGGATATGAAGAAAATGTATATATTTAAAACAGCAAATTGCACAATTTCAATTATATTATGACATATTAGATTCCATCATGTTAGATTCCATCAACGTACGTCAGATATTATATGCATAATTAATCTGAAAGATGAAAAATGGAATGTAAAATCTGATATTGAAAATTTTATATCTTATAAAAATGGCAAATATTCAAAATTAATTACTAGTAATGTGTAAAGCAAAGAGAAAAATGCGATTAATATTCGCGCAGCACAAGTTTAATAAACAACTTTAATAAATAATGTTTTATTCGATTCCAGATCGATTTCTATAAATGTTGTCCATTATTTATAACTTCTTTAAAAGCAGAGTCATATAATATAATAAAATCATTAGTCAAATTTTCTTAAGATGCAATTAAATACTCGCAGCGGAGGAATTTTCAAGTACAAATAGCAATTCTTTAACCGCCGCATTGTCGTGATGAATCTATATACGGAGATGATAGACGAAAGACGAGACGCAGGTGTCACAAAGGACAAGAGGGGGACAGCATTCTCATTCTGCGGCCGCAACACGCGCGAACAACCCTTCGTCGGTATTATACCACGTGCACAATACTCGTGCGCGTGCATAAATTACCTGCGAAACCGCGAAGCCTATCTATTTACGACTGCTGTGCATTATATAATATTTCGTGCTTGGGACAAATGCCGTCTTGCAACGGGCGCGTCTGCGAATCGCCACTTTAATTAATTAGCTGTCTATCTCGTCGTAATTTATTACGAAATTCATTTAATTTTGCTTGTTTGTTTTTCTTTTCTTTTTTTTTTGTCGAAGCTTTTTATGTACTCTCTTGCTGCTCGAAAAACGTCAAGAACATTTTTCATGCTTTTTATATTTTTCATATTTCCCTCTAATATGCAAATGAATTTTTACTACACTTTATTCCCGCTGCTATTAACACCGCTCCCTCTCCTCGCGTTGTGCCTATCTTCGTAATTATATTTTTTATCGCACATCGTAGTTTTTTGTCTCTTGATTTATTCGAAACTATTTTTTTTACGCTTATGTCGCGTATTTCGCGTCTCTTTACTACCATAATAAAAAAGGATATTTTTGCTGTTTCGTCGCGAAAAAGAGAAGCTCGCAATCGATCGCGATGTTTAATTATTCGACTCTATGCGTTTTATGGTTGGAAGAACTTTTCGCAATGTATCTCGCATCGTGTTGATCATGGACTAGCGTGAGCACTTATCTGCTGTCATGTATGTGAAAACGCAATAGGAGATTGTCATCGTCGATAGTATAACGTCGCGTGCAATAAAGCTCCACGAACACAGCCATGATAGAATGAGACGGCCGAAAGTTTTCATGTTAAGCGAGACTAGTAAAGCAGGCTCGGGTTATAAAAGGTACAAAGTACGAGAAAGACAGAGAGCGGGAGAGAAAGAGAGAACAGTGAAAACGGATAAAGAAAGAGAAAAAAGCGGATCTGGAAAAAAACTAGCGATGTACAACTAATATCGATTGCATAAAAGATTAATGTATAAGAGATTTATTTGTAAAGAGATTACACAGAAGCGTTTATTACGAATATTTTTGTCTTCGATCGACATGTTTTTTATACATTATGTAATTATATGTCACCATCATTCATCATTATGCAATCATCATTATTCATCAATCGTTCATCGTTATTGTTAGTAACATAATTTAATTTAATCTATTATTGATATTATATTAGTTCTTTCTTAATGCAAAATATTTTTAATATTCAATTTAGATTTAATTTAAATCGAGATAGATCGAGTTTACATTCGCGTTTTGTTTTTTAATTTAATTATATGATAGAAAATATAATACAATATTTTTATTAATAAATTATCTTAATATCGTTAGTCAGTTAATTAAAGGATCATTGGAAATAATGTAATCGATCAAAACTAGCCAGAATTTTTGTTTATTAATTACGACGTTTCGACTATATGGTGCTTTTCAAATATATAAGATCAAAAGATAGATATAAATCATAGTATTGTAAACTGCACAAGTCATACTTGAAAAGGACCACAACCATATGGTCGAAACGTCGTAATTAATAAACAAAAATTCTGGCTTGGTCGATTACAATATTTTTATATAGCAGGGGAGTCTTAAATTATTCAGCAATATTTCTTAACGGCTCGTTCACTGGCGCAGTTATTTATTCGAGCTTATTCACCAGGGGAGGGATTTGTTTCGTTGCCAGAGCGAGCGTTTAGCGCGCGGGTCGCGGGGTATAGGGAGAATTTAGTATAATAGTATCGGCGAAGCGAAGCCGTTCTCTCTCGTTCACTACGCTTCGGGTGTGCACGAGAGCGAAACGACCTCAATGGATCAACGAGGACAAGAGGATTGGCGAGGTCGCGACGGGGTAAGGGGATGTACGAGGTTTGCATGCGGCAGCGGCAACTCGGTGCAAATCGAGGTGGAGGGATACGACGACTGTGTCCGAGCACATCGTTAAAACCCGACCCGGGGCTACGGGATTGCGCGTTGTCGTCGTCGCCGCCGTCGTCGTCTACCGAGAGTACACCCTCCGTTTTCATCTCCTCGTCGCTCCTCGACTCGATTTCTTCTTCATCCGACAACGGAGCCGGTCTATCGTTCTATCCGGCTTACTCGTTCGACTATTGTTTCGTCAAGTGCGACGTAAAAGACTCGAAGATCACCCTCTCCCCCTTCCCCGAAACTGTGGTCTTTACTGTACGGCTATTAAGACCATCGTCTTGGCCCTCTCTCTTTCTTCTCTCTCTCTCTCTCTCTCTCTTTGTCTACTCACCGTCGAATTGCGAACACAGCTACTCTAACCCTGTCTCTCCTCTCTCTTTCTCAAGCCTCTTCGTCGAGAAGGGAGTAAGTGCAGTTTGCGCAAATTCAAATTTATCCCCGGGTCACGTTCCCTCGAGGAGCGAATTAAGGGCCCGAGCATGGAGCCGTCAGGAAGCACGCGTCGCTACTTAATCCTACCTTGAGCTCGCCTGCGAAAACGCACGGCGGATATGCTGTGGCTTCGCAGCCGACGCGAACTGGTTTCCCTTGCGAGCGGCGCTTTGCTTTTTCATTTCCGTCGCAGGATTTTGCGGAAACTTACGGTCGCGATCTTAGACACCGAGTAGAACTTCACAATCTTTTTCATCGCTTTCAACTTTCAAAGTATTCTTTTTAACCCAGCAAACGCGATAAAACTCACTTTAACAATCGAGAATTGAAAAACTAATGAAATAAGAATTTTTTTTAAAGGAATTGTATAATATTTGCCTTTATAAATTCTCTGTAATAATTTTTTATAGCTTCTTAATGATAATATAGAATAGTAAATTTCTTTTTTTTTGTCGATTTTAGGATTAACGATGAAGATTGTAAATAAAGTTTTTCCCCTTGTCATGATTCCTATCAGTTCATCGTTCCTCGACTTAATTCTCGTCGCATTCTTCGACTTTAAGCGCGAGCCAAAGCCGCATTCGTAGCATTTTCTCGTAGAGATTCACGGAAACTGACTCGAAGGGAGACGGAGAGGCTACGAGTCCCATCGCAAATTGGCTGGGTAATCGATGCCGGTCTTGGCATTCCATTCGGAGGTCAGACATGTACCGTTTAATTAGAATACCCCGTTCTACCATGTTAAATATCTGATCGTACGGAAGGACTGATTTAGATTTTTATGCCTTTCATTCAGATTTCAGATATCTGAAGGATTCCAACGTGATATTAAATTCAATACATTTCTTATTAAAAGACTTAGAAGACTAAACATATTTTCTAAACATTCTACGTATTT